AAAAAAAATGAAAAATCATTATTTTCGTTTTAATCAACATGAAACAATGAAAAACTAACGACACCAGTAGCTGCGTTCAAGGAACTCGTGTTCTTTTGTTCTTTTTCATTTTTCATCGACCAACATTTGTATTTTTTTTTTCATTAACCAGAAGAACAATGCGAAGTTTATTGAGACAAAACGAATACTTTGGGGCACAAACAAATAGTGTGTCTGTAGTCAGATACCTTAGCCACTGACATCGATCAACAAGTCAGACCCCATTTTGCTCTCCCAAAGCCCCACTCATGTTTTTTTTTTCTCGCTCTATTTTTTTAAATTATCTTTTTCATGATACGAATTTTTTGCTCTGATAAACATTTATCCATTTAAAAAACTGTGATGTATCATGTTAGTTATGTGTGGTCGATGAAATTCGAATTCAATATGACGCATTGTTGTTAGTAAATTGTATCATTCATATATGTCTCACTCTTTTATAAATAAATAAATAAATAAATATATATATATATATATATATAATATTTGTTATAGACTCAGTAAAAAAAAAAAAAAAGAAAGTCAGCAATTGTGACAATGAGAGAGACCATTCCGTGTTCTTGGTCGTTGAAAAAAATTATGTCACCAACTCTTGTATTCCACATCGTGTATTTCTAAAATTCTTGTATTATAGCTTGCGAGTTGCGAGCGAGTTTGGCTACCTTATTTTCATTATTTGAAAATATGTATTCATTTTATATAGTTTATAAGCTACATATTGAATTTGAATACGATATTAATTAGACCTTATAAATTACAATATCTGCCAAGCAATTATTGTCGGCAGCCCATAACTTGTTTGCTTAATTCGCTTTGTTATTATTTATCTTTTATAGATAACAAAAAGAAATTAAGGTATCTATCTTCCTACAGAGTGTGTGATAGGTTGTGCACAACGTGACCAAACACGTCGTTTCTTGTATTTTTAAAAAATGCAAGTCAAAGTACAGATCCTAACAAAGAGAAATCGTTTCCATAGCATTATGATGAGACTTGTATTCTTTTTTTTTTTTTTTTTTTTGGACAAAGATGAGACTTGTATTCAATTCTCCAATTTAACACCAAATATATGAAAACGAAAATCATAAAAAAGAAGAATAAGATAATTGCGCACAAGCCAATTTGACTGTTTACTGCTTTGTCAAAACCTAAAAGATATTGTTCCGTCTAATTATCAATAAAGACAAATTATACGTACAAAAAAAAGTTCGGAATGTGGGGTTAGAGTTTAGAAATGATACTCCCCTAATTATAGACAGTAGCAGAAACAAAAAAAAAAAACAACTGATAATATAAAGAATATACAATGACGAGTATACTCTGAGATAGTGAGCTTGAATGTAGTAGAGTTGTAGGAATAAATATCAGTAGGGTTAAAAGAACAGACAATATTGTAGCTTATTCCTTTGCTAAAAAAAGCAAAAGAAACAAATAATATTCTTGTGGCACAAACTGATTTGAATAATTTGTTGTTAAATATACACTATTGATACCAAACAAATCAAGGCGAAGAACGGCGGTTTAATTAATGGGTGACGTGTTCATCTTAAGAGTTGATAGATCATGATTTGAATATTCTTACTGCGAATTCACTTATAGTTGGTCATTGTCGATTCTGAAATTAGTATGGATTTCAATACAAAAATCTCCGGTTATCAGCAAGAGAAGTCACTTTTCTTTTTGACAATTGTAATATCACTTCTCACATATTTAAAAATCATTTCGTTATATATACTCCACATATATATGTATTGAAAATATAATTTTCATCAATCATCTTGTAAAACTAGCTTTTGAATATTGCATGACTATCATGTTAAAAATGATTCGGCTTTTACTGTTTTTTTCCCCATATTTTACTATTCATCAGTCATCACCGAAATGGTGTATGCATATTTATAGTACACATCTCTTGTATGTGCTAAACAAATTTATGTGTACGCATTAATTATATACAAAGATCAGATGTGTACATAAGAGAGTGGTAGAGAGACTAGAGAGGATGGGACCGGACGTGTTCATGAAAACGCGGAACGCCAATGTTTCTCTGTTGACGGCAACACAAGAACATGGCCATGTGACCTACCCACTCTTTTCTTTCTTCTTTTTGTCATTTCTTCACTTCTTTTTTTCTTCATCTTTTGGCCAAAGAATCTACCTCTTAACGGTATCGGACGTCATAGATTGTTACATCTACCGAAGAAAAGACATTATTGATTTGTATAATTGAAATGGCTATCTTATATATTGCTATCGTGTTTTATGTATGAGAATCCTACCATTTTCGAGGATTTATATCTCATATCATATTTTATTTTTTGGATCATATTAATCTTATTTGGATCTATGTCCTTGAATCAATGATACTATGTAAGGCCGTAAGGGTTCACGATTCTCCGAACTCAAAACTTTTTTTTGATAAAAAAGTATCCTATTGAAATGCTTAAATTGGAAGGTACATAGCTATGGCGGTTAAGTCATACAGTCTTTGAAAGATAAAATAAGAGCGTAGAGATTAGAGCAAAATGTTGATAAGATCACTAGAGAATGGGAGGAAGATTTAGAGAGAATTCTATTCGACCTCCTAAGATGGAGGGTCGTGGCTACCTCGACCACCACATCCTCTTTTACCTTGCTTTCCTACTAAAGTTCAATTCTCTTGGACTTTTTGTGTAGGCTTAATTGTTCTTCCTCCTCAAAACTATTTCTTACTTATGTTTGGTATATAGTAAATGGATTTATACATGTTCCTTGAATATTTCTTTTGTTCTCATTTTTATTTGTAATCTAGATTTCTCAAATGCTCCTAGAAATGGTGGCTCTTCCAATCTATCTCAAACCGATATATATAAAGAAGTAAGCAGAATTCGATTTTTTTTTTTTGTGTGTGAATTCCATGAGAAATTCTGGCTATTCTGCTTAATGTTTCGATGCAATAATATATTTGATTTTTAGTAAATTCATGAAAAGGTTCTTATCAAAATGTCTGCTAACTACTTTACTAGTTACCAGTAAACATGCTTATACGTACGATCATCTATATATATAGATAGAAATAGAACAGCAGGAACTATATAATATTTGTTGGTTAGAAATTATTGTCATTTTATAGCGTAATAAGGTTACGTGGAGGCCCATTTTGGAGTCTTACTACCGGCCATGCTTTTGACTTTTCTCTGCCTCCACGAGTTTTATGTTAAGCTCATTAATGTCGTGAACACGCTTTGCATAGTTTCTACAGATAAAACGGTGACGAAATCAGATAGTATGAAAAAGTAGTTTAGTCTTATGGTTTAGATATGAAAAATTAATCAGAAATTGACCATAAAAAGATATACTATTTGTTAACGAGTTCCACGAACTTTTTAGAATTTGTGATAGTTTCCGAAAAATTGTGAGCTTTTTGAAAAAATAAAAATTTCTGAAAAGTTAAAGTTAATTATTTTGTAATCAAAGTCGAAGATTTTGTTAAGCACTAATCAGTTTATCGTCAGCCATCTAAGTATTGATTACTTTTGAGTTTCTAAACAAAAAATTTAAATTAAGATGTGTCATTAGTCAAGTGGTTGAGTCCATTTGACTCCACCTTCCCCATTGGAATTCGATTCCACTAAGTCGTAATACTCCATATAATAGGAATCGGTTATGAATCGAATCTTGTCAACCTAATAGTGTCAAAAAGAACAAAAATTTAAAAGTGAAACTGTATTAATTAAAAATAATTACTAATGTTACAACATCCAAAAGTATCTTAAATATACCACAGACAAAAAAGTAATTCAAACAAACTCCAAAAAGTTGGGATAACAACATGAACCGGAAAGTGTGAAACTTGGAACTTGGAAGCCTAACATTTGACGGTGGCGTGACGACCGCAGTTGAAAATGGTGGCCGGCGGCTTCTGATTATTGAAAAACATCAATTTCACCACTCACCAAACTCTACCCACGTGTTACATCGTATCTAATACCGTATCCCAAGAGATTTAATTAGCCTACCGAACTCATTTGCTAATTAAATTAGTCTGATTGTATTAAATTAATTAATTTGATTCACTACGTACATAAGACTCAACTTGATTCACTAAAGATCATAAACCAATTATATTCTCCTTGATGACTAATCCCTTTCTCTCCAAGTCTAAATTTTCTCTTTCTTTTCTTTTAGTTTTTATTTGATCGTGGACTTTGGCCCCCTTGCAAATTAAATACATTTCACATCTCGGAATAACAATTGTTTGGTAATATTTATCTTTATGTGAAATCTAATTTCACCTTTTCCTCTTTAGGCTGCTATCTAAAACTTCCTCTTTGACTTCTGAATACTAATATTCATTTTCCTTTGTACAATTGAAACTGCTGCGAATCTTCATTCATAAGTTTGTGCATGACGACTTTTGGAACGTTGAATTTTCTTTCTCAATACATTTTTCCCCAACTTACCATATAAATGAAATTTCATAGAAAACATTGTTTGAAAATTATAACCAGGTTGTACTAATTTGCTATGCATGCATGTGTTAGAGTGTCACTTTAGACTTCTATTTTAAAGAAAAAGAAAAGGGATTATTGTCTCAAATGCCATTTTTTTTGGAAAAATTTACGAAAATGCCATTTTTGAATAGTTTACGGATTTTGCCATTTTTTAACACTTAAAAATGTACGTATTTATGATTTTTTTTTTTGTAAAAATACGTACTTTATACCAAATACTAAACCCTAAGAACAAATGGAACCGACTAAACCCAAACATAACGAGTGAAACGCATGTTAAATCATATTTTTGGAGCTTGAAAAAAGGCAAAATCCACAAACTATTCAAAAAAGGACAAAATCCACAAATACCATTATAAAAAAGGGTAAAATCTGTAATTAATTCAAAAGACAAATAGTGATTCCACCAATTTATAAATTAGTCACTTTATCAACATTCTAAAATAGGAACTCTCTCTTTCTCTCTCTATCTATTGACTATATATACAATAACACTTCATTGTTTTAAAGCAACCTTGAGTCTTAAGAATTTTATTGAATTCATCTCTCTCTTTCTTTCTCAACCCAAAATATTATTTTCACCCCAAAGATCAAAGCTCTTCATGGCCGTTCGTCTAGTTCCGACCATCTGGCTCTTCATAGTCTTCGCCATCATCGTCTCAGCCTTGCCCTCGCCGGTTTCTTCAAGAAAGATGTTGGAGATCAAGAAACAAGAAATCTTGACGGTGCGAGAGGAAGAGAAGAGTCACATGCCTCACGTGACCAAAACTAGTACCTTAAGTGCTCTACCAAAGGGTAAAATTCCCAACTCAACGCCGAGCAAAAAGGGTCACGCCGCCGTCTTAGCCGGAAAGCTCCGATCTCGACATCTCTCCACCGTTGATCGGTTTCTCCGATCCGTTCCTAGTCCCGGTGTTGGCCACTGATAGGATCCGCTAGATTCATATTTCTTTTTTGTTTTTTTTTTTCTTCCATTTAGTACATTCTTTTATTCTAATTATAATACGAAATTTCCTACAAGGTATACCTTTGGCTTTGTTTTTAGAATTATTTTTTCAGGTTACTACAATTATACTTATGTAAATTAGTCAAAAGTTTATTGTCTTCCATATCACACGAGGTTTAATATCCCATCTTGTAATTAATTAATGTTACTCATTTTATAACAAGTCGAATCTTACTGGCTGAGGTTAGTGATACTTTCTTTATTTTAGTACTTCAGTAGCATAAAATCTTTCTTTTTCTTTTTTTCTTTTTTTTTGGTAAAAATCTTTCTTTTTGTTGATGAAATGTTAAATACTCTTAGTCATATAGTTCTTAACAGTATATTTAATGAACAAGTTGGACATCATTTGTGTTTAATATTTACTAAAGTCGATATTGAAGATTCAAATAGAAAATTTTATATATTGAAAAGCTGAAAACGATATAGAAACATTCAAACACTTTTTTTTGGTCGAACGTTTCGAACACTTTTAAACATCCTTTTAATCCAAGATTCATATCCAATAGTAGTATATATGAGATTTTAATATTAATACTTAGTACTCGAAGGCAAAAAGGTGTTAGTTACTCGTGGAGGTGTACTATAGCGTTGAATTGGCTGCACCTAGGCCACCGCTCATTGATTAGAGATTCGTATAGTTTTCTTGAGGATTATATATTCAAACTCGAACCAATTAGAGATGTCATCCTAGATATTTCGACTGTAGAAATATGGAAAAATGATAGTGTAATACTGTTCTTCATAAGTATACACACCTAATATACAGAGTTTGATTGGTGATACTGTATATAACATGATTAACTAGCTATTTAGCACATTATGAACTAAAATTAAGTAATTAACAGTTTGTAAAAGATAATCCTTTAATCATCATTCGTGATTAACCTAAGCTAGTATAATCCCAAGATCCAACCAAGAAAACAACTTACACATGTAACTGAACAAAGCTCATTGCAGGCATAACCATAATTAAAGATAAAAGAGAGATGATTAGAGATCTTCCTAATGTAAAGAAATTATGGATTCTCATTCCAAAATGTAAGATCATAATTTAAGGTCTCAACAACCACTTAGAGCAATTAAAACTGAGGTTAAAAACTGTTTTAGAAATGCTTAAATACATAAAAAGTCTGAACATGGTCGGATTGAAGAACTATACATGCTTCAACTTGGATGATCAAATTAGCTTGTGGGTGTGTAGCCGATCACTAAATATACGAGAAATATATTTTTGATGTTTTCTATACGAATTTTGGATCTTTTTCTCAGGTTCTTATCTTAAATAAATTGTAATTGTAAAATACAAAAACTCAAAGTTCTGAGCTCTTGATTACACAAAACGAACTATCTAAAACCATTTAAAACATCATACATGATCTTTGGCTCAACAACACTTCGCATAAGAAAGACGATCACAACTTGATTTATTAATGGGCCATTATCTAATGGGCCTTTCTACTTCTTTTATTCAAGTATATTCAAATATCATACATGATCTTTTGGCTCAACAATATTTCTCATAAGAAAGACGATTACAACTTGATTTATGAATGGGCCATTATCTGATGGGCCTTTCTACTTGTTTTGTTAAGTATGCTACATGTAAAATATTGGGTTTTTTTTTTTTATTATTATTAATTGCAAATTATGAGAGCTGTTACATAGACGATTCTACAACTGACAATTTCTTCCGACCCTTACTAGATCCACGACAGACTACACTTCCTTTCTTTGTAATCTTGATGAATACCTTCAATGATCCACGACCTGGCGATACTTCCTTCTCTGCGTAGAATCCTGGCGAACAGCTATAATTGTACATCGCTGGAGATCTCTTGCACACTTGCCTCCATTAATCTGCAAATTTATTAATAAATCGCAATACCTGGGACTCGAACCCCAGACCTCTTGGTGTAGAAGCATTAATTAACCCTTGGTCAACCAATGGGTCAAATGGGCTTCCACAATATAAAATATTGGTTAGCTCTTGCTATTTTTAAATTAAAGTCATATGCATGATGAGTTCAGGATAAATTCTTCATCTAAAAATATAAAATATGTAATTCTGTCTGACTATTAAATTCATTTAAAACTATATATATCCATCAATATTCATATTCATAACTTTACACAGCAATTACAATGACATACAAAATATCCTACTTCGATCATTTTTTTTTCTTTCGTATAACCAAATCTCCAACTAATTACGTCTAGAATAAATAATAAAATGTATTGAATGAAATTTGATCTCTAATTACTCAATTGTCTCTATTCATTTAGTTTCTTTTATTCTTTATCACTATTAATTTATGCCAGACCAACCCGCATGCAATATTAAATAAACGGAATTAATTATACAACGGTATTGAATAGTTGCCTAACAAGTAGATTTCAAAATCGGCCGTATATGTGGAAATCTCTCATTGGTTTATCTCTTTCACTAGATTGATTCTCTTACGTCACACACATCTGTCTCACTCTCTTACCAGAAAAAAACAAATCGTATTTTTAACCCTCTCCTTTCCATTCATTATCTACACGTTTTCTAATTTCTTAATCTCACGCATACCATTCAACACACATTATATTGATTAACAAAAAAAATACAATTCGTACATATTTTTCCATAATGCTGCTAACAACACTCACGTTAGCTAAACTGATATCTAAAAAGTAAAAACTAATCAAGTCAATATAATAAAGCCACTCCGGCGCAAATGTTTGACTACAAAAACAGATTCTAATCTTACTTATTTTTCAAGTAACTCCACAATATTTTTGTCATAATTAGAAGATATCTTAAATTAATTTCTAGCGACGACGACACATAGCGTATTTTAATAAATTAATTAGAAAAATATATACACCAACTCCAAACATTATAAAAATATCAAATTATCAAGTATATAACAAAATTTATACATTAAAAAAACATAGAATATAATTTTTCTTCCCTGCATTCCTACTTCAATAATCAAAACTATTCCAAAAAACAAAATTATCATTTTCTTTCACTAAACTATTTCCTCATGATGATTGTCCCTCGCGCCATTTTCTGTCTCCGTCACATTCTCAAAACATGTCCCACTTGCCAGTCTTGCTGCCCCCAAGGAATCATGTCCCCACCATTTCCTTTCCACGCGCCACCTCTTTTATTTTCCCCGGCGCGTGAACACAACCACCGCGTTTTCCTTTTGATTCTGTTTTCGTTGGCTATTCATGAAGTAAAACCGTTAACCGGAGACAAGTAAACCTGGCTTTGTATCACATTCTCACCGATTTTAAACCCGGGAACAACCGTGAACCCGACCCGAATATCTGAATTATCGCCGGAGAAGATTGACTCATCGCCTGATTTCACACTCTCCATATACACTTGAGAGAATCTACAACCTCTTTTGAGCTGAAACACCGTGACGTTTTCACTTAAAGAAAACGCTAAGCAGTGTAGAAGCCAGATCCGTTTAGCCATTTCACAAAACGTTGCGAAAAAACCCGAATCCGGAAACCCACCCGAGTTAACCAGTTTCCTCTGGTTCAAGTTCCCGAAGAAAGAACACTCCATCTTCGCGTGTACAACGCTCAAGTACTTATGAACCACGAAACTCGCAAAAGACGAACCCGGGTTCCGGGTCAAGTACTGAATCGGGTCAACGGATCTCACGTTTTCGAATTCCTCACGACTCGAGAAATCAGGAGACTCGAAATTCTCAAACATTTTCCCACAAACAAACGATTCAAACGCGAAACAACGATGACTCGGTCTCGCGAAAACGGTGGAAGCGTTTTTAACGTTCACCGAAACGGCGGCGGAACCGGCGGCGTCTAGATCCCAGCTCGCTGATTCCATCTCCTTCACAATCAATTTCACAAAGCTTCTAACAGATCTCAACGTAAAACCTAAAACCTGAACAAATTGACTCAAATTCAAATTCGAAATTTGAATATTATCAAACGCAGAAATCGATCCACTCGCTGTGAGTTTCTTCTCCAACGATTTATTCATCACCAAATTCTCATCAAGACTCATCTTCAATTCATCGATCTTCAATTTCTTCTCCGTAACTTCAAATTCAAGTTTCTTAATCGTGATTTCGTAAGTCCTCATCAAACTCTGTTGCTCCTGGATCTCAGCTAACATAATCGCAACTTGCGGAGACAGATTCAGTTCCTTCCTAAGAAAACTCCGTTTAAGCTCCGATAAAGCTCTAAGCTCTTCGACCACCGCCGTATCCGCCGCTTGTATAGCGTCGTTATCGTAGGGACGTTGCGCCATCTGAAGCTCAGCGTAAGCAGCTTTAATGGAAGTTGTACTAGCGAAGATCTTCGCAACCACAGCTTCTAAAACAGCTCTACGACGCTCTCGGACTTTGATCTCCTCGCTTCTGCTACTGGAAGTACTCTTTAAATCGAAAACAGAGTCTCCGTCGTCGTCTTCATCGTTGAAATTTGGATTCTGTGACTTTAACATACAGATTCCGATTCCGTTGTTGGAGGAGACCTTCGTCGACGTTGTTCTTAGGTTACATACTTTCTGGAATGTTCTCGCTAACTTGCTTTTTCTTCTCACTGACGGATTCTTCTTCAATGTCTCCATTGAAATTGAGATTTTGTGAAAGAAAAAAAAAACAGAGAGATTCAGTTTTTTTTTTTTCTGACAATTAGGAGAAGTTTTTGTGAGTCTGATACAGCAAAAAGAAAAAAGGAGTGAAGGAATTATTTCAAAAAAGAAATATAAATAAAAATGAGGCAAAGCGTGAAAGCGTGGGAAAGATGATAGAAGAAAAAGAGAAGGTCGATCGTATTTTGTTCTCTTTTTTCTTTTGTATGCTTTTTATTTCTATATTATTTTTTATTTATTTATACGTTTGTATTAATTTAACATAATGTGGTTGAATAGTTAGATACTTAATTGAATAATATTCATGTGTAACAGTGTGAGTAAGCTTCTTTCACAAGGATTTTAAATTGTGGTCGGGTCGGGTTTTGTCGGAGATTAATGGGGTTAATTATAAGCACTTATACGTAATTATGTCTTGATTTATTTTACTTTTTATTATACTAAGGTGATCAATGATCATTTGTGTCCCTTGTTTTTATTCTATGTATATTTCTCATAGATATTTAGAAATAATTCATAGATAAGGTACCTTTTTTGAAGTGAGTGAACATACTGTTACATTCTATAA